AGACCAGAGAGAGACCAGAGAGAGACCAGAGAGAGACCAGAGAGAGACCAGAGAGAGTCCAGAGAGAGTCCAGAGAGAGACCAGAGAGAGACCAGAGAGAGACCAGAGAGAGACCAGAGAGAAGTTCTCCGCTCTGAAAGAGGACTGTGAGTTGGCAGAAGATATCATTCGCTGAGATGCAAGCCATGCTAACATGCTAACATACTAACATGCTAACATGCTAACAGCTGTTATCAGTCTGAACAAAGCACTTTAATGATCTTCACTTGTATTGAAGCTGTTTTTGTTCAATCGTTTACTGTATTTTATTGATGCACTTCTCTGGATGGGGGGTTTTGCACATGTATTCCAATGTGGTTTTTACAGCAAATGGCAAATACACAGAATCTGAATCTGTATATTCAAAACACTGCTGCCCCAGTCCTGGTCTCAGGTCTCTGTCCTGAAGTCCGTCACATTCACCATTTTGGGCTTAAATCCATGGTTTAGAGCTTTGTATTGTGATATCGTCTTTGTAAATCCAGATATGAGCCATATAAGGTTTGACCAATCTGTGTGGAGTTTGCATGTTCTCCTGTGTCTGTGTAGGGTTCCTCCGGGTGCTCCGGTTTCTCCTACCACTAAAAACATGTACAACAGGTCTGAATGTAATGAGAGAGCCGCTTCTGTCATCCCCTTGTGGAGAGAATGGACAAATATCTGAAAACCAAAAACATAATGAAAGGCTTTGTGTGACCTTGGACACTGAATTGCGCTATACAAATAAAATGACGATTGGACAACAAGTCCCATTTGACTCCACTTTCCCACTCAAACAGCCTGTTACAGTTAGCTCTAATCCGCCTCTTCTGCATTAAAGCTAACATATGTGATGTCACACTTGGTCAATCCTCCTGATTTTATATCGACTATAAGAATGAGATTTGGAAAGAAATACAAAAACAGTTTATACTTCATTTTTCCTTTGTTTGGTTTGTTTAAGAGGCCACAGAAGTCAGGACAAAGGAGTGCTTCAGGCAAAGAAACTAAAAAATGGGAAATAAAACAAAAGTTAGTTTGTGTAGCTCATTTCAAGGTCACACAATGTTTTTTGAGCACTGATCATTTTCTATTCACTCCACTCAAAGTGATGACAGAAGCCAAACACACACAGACATGGAGAGAACATGCAAACTCCACTCAGAAAGGCTTTCTCTGGAGGTGGAATTGAACCCAAGACCTTGCTAACCCGCGCAGTAAAGAAACTCTCTCTCCAGGATTCCCATAATGTCTCTATATTTTCAAATACATTAAATATTTTGTATTTGTATAGCTCTAAACCACAACAGTAGTCGATTCACCAACACAGATCAGAGAATCAAACTGTTCAAACACAGGAAATGCAAACACGCTCTGCCATTGTCCATAAGGAGCAGATGACCAATGACTATCTTTGTACTATCCTCGAGTCAAATTGACCCGCCACAATGCGATTAAAAAGAACCCTACATCTTTTTTTCAGAGTTAAATGTTATGATTTTACCAAACTTGATCATCCCTGGGTTATTTAGATCCTTTTAGACCCTAATTCAGGGTATTAGCACATACATAAAGTCCATAAATGTCATTGAATGACAAGTGTCCTGGATCATCACCACTGTCCTTATACCAGGCATGTCAAAGTCAGGCCCGTGGGCCAAATCCGGCCTGCCGCCACAGGACCATTTTTTGTTATCCCTGAATAAAAGTATGCAGTAAATTGTAGCAATGATGGTAATGGGATACTATGGCATGTTTGACTTCATTTTAAAGCTTTTTGTCTCTGGAAAACAACCATAGTTCAACCAATTTTATTTGAACTATTTAGAAGTTAAATGAAGTAAGTTAGGCCAAATATAAAGTATATTTTCTATAGTTAACTGTCAGTCTTCAATTACATTTCTTCTTGATATTTGACACAATTGTTGCGTAACCGAAACCTACCAGAAACTGATATCCAAATGCATTTCAAAAATGATTTGTCAAAATACAAAAACATGTAAAATGAAGTTATAATATTAAGAGAAAACCACTTCAGCCACAATGGTTTTAGATTTGGCCTCCGACAAAAATGTGTTTGACCCTGTTTTGCGTCAACAACGTTACAGTGTGACCAATGACATTTAGGACAGAATTATAATCAGTCCATCTTGGATTTTTTTTAGATCGTTATAGATTTCAAGCGCTTAAATTATAACTAATAACTTCCTACTTCAGATATAGCGGCTTGGCTCCAGAGACCAGACTTGGCCTTGGACATATAGGGGAACAAAAGAAAGAGAAACCGAACAAGCTTTCTCCATTTATTGTCAACGTATTTCGCTTTATTGTCAATTTTTGGGTCTGAAAAATGAGTTTTGAGAGACAGGCATGTTCACTGAGGCAGCGGAGAGGAGCAGATGTGGGCGACCGCAGTATTGTGAGTGGAGTGTGTAATTTTCGGCGGATGGACGCGAGGATGAGGACGACGCAGGGAGGAAGAGTGTCCTTGGCGAGTAAATGGTTTATCGGACACGTGCACCGACAACAAGCCGAGAGCGAGAGGGAAATGTGCTTTTAATACTCTGTACAGTACAACGCACAGGAGTCCAAGGCTGCGGCGGCCGAGGGATTGTTGGAATAACGAGTTTTAAAAGATAATGTAAAAATAGATAGATAGATGTTTGCATAAGTTGTCGTCAGCTGACATTGTACAGCTGTGAGTTAGTGGAGCACGATTACATTCAAAACATGATTGGTTCAAAGTATAGGAATTCAACATACTGCAGATCCATACATTCTTCCAGGCCAGATTGAGACTAGAGAGAGACTAAAGAGACCAGAGAGATACCAGAAAGAGTCCAGATAGACCAGAGAGAGGCCAGAGAGAGAACACAGGGAGACCAGAGAGAATGGAGGCAGGCCAGAGAGAGAGACCTGAAAGAGACTAGATACAAGGACCAGATACAGAGACCAGATACAAGGAGCACAAGGAGACCAGAGAGAGACAAGAGCAAAAGCCAATAGAGACCAGAGAGAGGAAAAAGAGAGACACGAAAAAAACAGAGAGAGAACAGAGAGAGAGTAGACAAAGACCAGAAAGAGAACAGAGAGAGATCAGAAAGAGACCAAAGAGAGACCAGAAAGACAAATCAGAGAGAGACTAGAGAGAGACCAGAGAGAGAGCAGAGAAAGAATTAAGAGACAGACCAGAGAGAGACTTGATAGAGACCAGAGAGAGAGCGAGACCAGAGAAAGACCAGAGAGATTTTCAACATCTTCCACTCGATGGGAGTGCTGAATATTTGTTGTATTTATTTGCATATTTCTGGTGCTGAATTATTTTACAATGAAACACATAGAGCAGGTCATGACTCATGGCCCTGAATTAATGTAAAATAGTTCACCTCTGCTCAGTTCCATTCCTTTAAAGAAGTCCTGGATCCAGACTTTGATCCAGATCACCTCCAGAATATAGTGTTGTTCTTTTCCCTTAATCAGGTTTCCTGAACCCTTCAAGTTTTATTTCTAACAGACACATAGCTTGTGGTGAAAGCATACTTGTTAGTGTAAATGAGGGCCACATTATTACATTCATGAGAATAACTGTTGCCCCATTAAGTCCCTGAGGGGGGGCAGACACGCCAGACTCAAGTTCACGCGTTGACACCTCCAGAACTGGTTTTTAAAGCCAATAAACTGTGGATGAAACATAATGACAGCTTATGACAGATCGTTAAATTGTGTACGAGTTCCGGAGACACAACACTGAGCAGATACAGTACATAAAGTAACACAACATGATGCAAGAAGACAACACGTGCTTCTGACTTATATAAACAAGGTTTCTAAGAGGTCTGCCCCAGGTCTCTTCAAGATGTCTGTCCTGGTCTCTCCAAGATGTCTTCCCTTGGTCTATCCGACAGGTCTTCAGGTGTGTGTGTGTGTGAATGGTTGGTGGTGGTGGGAGGGGCTGATGGCACAGACTGGTTGCCTCGCTTCTGTCAGTGTGCCCCAGGGCAGCTGTGGCTACAATACTAGTTCATTACCACTGTGTCTGCAGTGAAAAAATGATGATGTGAAGTGCGTTTGAAAGTCCAGAAAAGTCCCATATAAAAATCATGCATTTTTTAAAAGTAATTCACATAATTTAGAGTAGTTCACATATTAGATATAGTACATATAGTATACATAGTACTGAGGATACATAGTACACTGTAATCTCCTAATCACCATTTGGATCTCTGTGCCTTGTCCCCAGTTTGTTCCCTGGATTGTCTGGGCCTTCTCACCGATGACCTGCAACTCTACAGATCCGGATTACTTTCCCTTTGTTTGTTATCAAGTTAAACCGTACAAAACCTCCTCACACATCTCCCCATCTCCTCATCTCGCCTCCGCCGTCTGGCTCGAAGGCACAAAGGCAGAGAGCGCATACTAACCCCCGTCTATAGAGCGCTAAAAGCAAGCAGCCAACCAGCCGAGCCACTCGAGTCCATTTACACCTCTGCCGGCTTGATCCTGAAGCGGGGGACATCTCAGCTTACCTGTCCCAGAGATCAGCCTCTCTGGAGGGGGGAGCGAGGGGAGCGAGGGGAGGCAGGAGAGCGAGGGGAAATGGGGAGGGAGGGGAGACGGAGAGAAGGGGAGGCCGGGGAGGGAGATCCGTCGGGGAGGCAGGACTTCACTTTAGTCAATGTATGTACTTAGTTTTGTTTCGTGTAAATTCCATGAACAGTGGAGACCAAAAACCACAATAGACCAAAACCTTTGTGGACAAATGCCGACATAACATCTAGATCCGGTGTGCCGACTTCTGCACCTGTTGTTTTGACTCTAATAATGTCTCTCAATGTGACACGTATGTCTTTCAATGTGTGACCGGACATTGACAATATAAAGCATTTCCTTACTGAAAAATACTGTAACTGAGAAAACTGAAACAACTGAATAAACAAACAGGTTGCTCTGGTGCGCAAAGATCCCGTCTGAGAAGAAGTATTTTAACTGTGGTCTTTTACTGTAGGCAGAGGAGGTAGAGGAGAAGGGGAGAAGGGGAGGCAGAGGAGGTAGAGGAGGTAGCTGAGGCAGAGGAGGTAGGGGGGCAGAGGAGGTAGCTGAGGCAGAGGAGGTAGGGGAGGTAGCTGAGGCAGAGGAGGTAGGGGGGCAGAGGAGGTAGCTGAGGCAGAGGAGGTAGGGGAGGTAGAGGGGCAGAGGAGGTAGCTGAGGCAGAGGAGGTAGGGGAGGTAGAGGGGCAGAGGAGGTAGCTGAGGCAGAGGAGGTAGGGGAGGTAGAGGGGCAGAGGAGGTAGCTGAGGCAGAGGAGGTAGGGGAGGTAGGGGGGCAGAGGAGGTAGCTGAGGCAGAGGAGGTAGGGGAGGTAGGGGGGCAGAGGAGGTAGCTGAGGCAGAGGAGGTAGGGGAGGTAGAGGGGGCAGAGGAGGTAGCTGAGGCAGAGGAGGTAGGGGAGGTAGGGGGGCAGAGGAGGTAGAGGAGGCAGAGGAGGTAGATGAGGCAGAGGTGGTAGGGGAGGTAGGGGAGGTAGAGGGGCAGAGGAGATAGCTGAGGCAGAGGAGGTAGGGGAGGTAGGGGGGCAGAGGAGGTAGAGGAGGCAGAGGAGGTAGGGGAGGTAGGGGGGCAGAGGAGAAGGGGAGGTAGAGGGGCAGAGGAGGTAGCTGAGGCAGAGGAGGTAGGGGAGGTAGGGGGGGGCAGAGGAGGTAGAGGAGGCAGAGGAGGTAGATGAGGCAGAGGTGGTAGATGAGGCAGAGGTGGTAGGGGAGGTAGGGGAGGTAGGGGAGGTAGAGGGGGCAGAGGAGGTAGCTGAGGCAGAGGAGGTAGGGGAGGTAGAGGGGGCAGAGGAGGTAGCTGAGGCAGAGGAGGTAGGGGAGGTAGAGGGGGCAGAGGAGGTAGCTGAGGCAGAGGAGGTAGGGGAGGTAGGGGGGCAGAGGAGGTAGAGGAGGCAGAGGAGGTAGGGGAGGTAGGGGGGCAGAGGAGGTAGGGGAGGTAGATGAGGCAGAGGAGGTAGGGGAGGTAGGGGGGCAGAGGAGGAGGTAGGGGGGCAGAGGAGGAGGTAGGGGAGGGAGAGGAGAAGGGGAGGTAGGGGAGAAGGCGAGGCAGAGAAAGCAGAGGAGGTCGGGGAGGCAGGGCAGGTTGATCGTAAGGTGAGCCGGGCGCTGACAGCTAAATGCGGTAATTTTCTGCAGGGACCTGCAGGTCTGGTCTCAGTGTGTTTTGCCTCAGAGGGTTCGGTCGGGGGGGGGTCTGATGGGGGGGTGGAGGCGCTGATGCTGTGGGTTGGATTGGTCTCTTTAAACTGGGAGGCAGTCGGAGCTAAGTGGTCTGCTGTGGAGCGAAAGTTTTGGGCTCCGTGTTATTGTTCTGACAAGTTGATTTGCAGTCATTTGCTGATGGAATAATGTCAAACCTAAAAGAGTATTGTACGCTCTCACTTTCTGCATAGTGCTATATAATTGGCTCCATAAATTATCTTTTTGACGTAAAAAATGAATTTAATTTTGGTAAATGTAATACGTCTATTAGTCTTCTATTCAATTTCAGGTCAGTGTGCGTGTCCAGCAACGTGCTCCCTGCTCCACATCTGCACAGAGACACTCTATGATTCTAACAGAGCACAGCTATGTTTGAAAATAGAAAAGATTAGAGAGAAAATATATAGAGATTGTACCTGCTGAAAGATGTTTACTATAAAGTACAGGTTTAAGACATCCAAAAGCACATTCATGTATTTCAACTTAGATTGTGAAACCCGTGTTTGATATGGACTCATTACTCAAACAGAGCAGATACAACAGTCTTTATTGGTTGTTAAGCTGAACCTTTTTAACTGTTTACATCACATTCACCGTTCTGGGGCTCAGGGGTATTGGTATTATTTCATCTCACACAATGTTTTTAATTTTTTACAGTTTTTTCAAAATTTGACTCAGAATAATTGACCAATCCGGAGCCTTGTAATCCTGAATTTGGCTTCCAGCTAGTGAAAATCACGAGGAAATCATTTAGGAAAGTATTGGTCTCAGGTCTCATCTGAAGACTCTCACAGACCCTCTGAGCAGCACAGGGACTGGCCTCCTGCTCGGACTCTGAGGAGCACAGGGACTGACCTCCTGCTGGGACTCTGAGGAGCACAGGGACCGGCCTCCTGCTGGGACTCTGAGGAGCACAGGGACTGGCCTCCTGCTGGGACTCTGAGGAGCACAGGGACTGGCCTCCTGCTGGGACTCTGAGGAGCACAGGGACTGGCCTCCTGCTGGGACACACCACACATAGATCTGTATCCCTGCTGTTCTTTTAAAATGGTTGAATTATCTTGAACTCGATCTTTTCATTTCTCGGGTCACTAGTTGCCCACACCTCTTCTCCGCACGGCCTCATAAACGGTGGTAATCCTGCAGAGAACAGAGACTTCTTGTTTTAGTCATAATGATCCTTTAATATGAGGAGTACCCCCCCTCACCCCGCCGTATACAGTACGGGCCTCATCCTCCCTGCATCACTACACTCCTGCGGATAGCCTTACAGCGCAGAAACCTGAACTTGCCGCTAAGCCGTTTAGGAGTATTTTGGCTTCATTAGGAAGAGGTGGACACACACATGCAGACAGCAGGCTCTCACCGACCGCCTCTGCTCCGTTGCGGATCATTTAACACGGACCAAATGTCAAGTGATTTCGGGTCGCGCTTTGATTCGGGGATCTCTCTCTGCACAAGAACCTCTGGAGATGCTGTGGTCTGATGTGACGGGGTTTGGACCGGGGCAGTGAGGTATAGTCTCCCAGCTCGGGACGGGAACCTGGTCTTGTCTGTGCTCTGTAAAGTTGTCCTGAAGCGAGGCCATAACTTACAGTTTTAGAGCGATAGATGTTTGTATCGCTCTCAAACGATCTACTCGCTGTCCATTTGACTGTTTCATGGCGTGATGATGGGACCCCTGAACCCGGCCTCTTCTATCTGCAGTTGTGGACTGTCTACCCCGGCCTGGACGCGTGGGCTGGACCGCCTCCCTGCCTGGGAGCTGCCTCAGTCCTGCATCACCTGTTCCTCATTCTGCAACTTCAGTTATGGATCTTCAGCCTCAATCCTGGATCTACAGTCCATCCTGGGAAGCCTTCCTGAGATTTTTAATTTTTTCTGTCACTGGGTTTTTAGTTGTTCAGAGTTGTTCCTCTCTGATGCAGGAGGGTCTAAGGACAGTGATATTGATCCAGGACTCTCAAAATTCAACAACATTTATGGATCAATGGCTCTGTCGTTATGTTTTTTTTTAGCATTGCATTTCCTGTGTTTGAACTGTTTCATTCTCTGATCTGTGTTTGCGAATCAACAGCTTTATAATAACTTTTGTGATCTAAGGCCATACAAAATGTATGTAGATCAATTGAATTCAGTCCCAACAAACACATAGGAGCCATCGAGAGCAGGATGACCACCGTCTTAGACCCACCTGCATCAGAGAGGAATCAGGACTGAGGCTGTAGATCCAGCACTGAGCCTTGTGAGTTACTATTTGAGTCTTTGAGCTGAGAGCTGATTGGCTGAGTGAGAGTGGTCCCCTATTTTTAAATTTTCTGTCTGAAAAAGCTGAACTAAAGATATGATATCAGGACAAAGACCAGGATAGAAGCAAACTGTTTTAAAGGTAGGAACTAGTTCAAAGATGTTTTTGATTTGAAACTGAGGTACCCTGTCCTTTGTATATCTATAATATGTTAATCGGTGAGGGCGGCACGGCCTAACACAAAAATAAAGCATAAGGTCTGGCATGTGCCCTCAGGTGACCTCGCTCCCATCTCTGTGTGGAGTGAGAGACAAATGCTCACAACAATTGTAAAGCGCTTTGTGACTATATAAAAAAAGATTACATTACTTATTACTTAATAATCATATAAAATGTAGATTATAATCATAATTCAAACAAAATCACTTATAACCAGCTTCATTTTGGAAAAACACCTACAGATCTGCTTTAATAACAACTGTGGAACGATATACTCTCTATCTCCAGGTGAAAAATGCTTCATCTTTGTGGAGTTACTGGGAGTTTATAAACAGTACATTTTGTTTAAAATAGCAGAAGTTTGAGTCTGGCACATGGGGTTGTTGTGTCCTTGGGCAAAGCACTTTCCACCTGTCTTCTGTGTGGCTGGTTGTGTGATATTGTGTGATGTGCCGTCAGCTGCTGCTCTGGGCACGGCGCCTGCCTCTGAGTGCTTTTACCAGGTTTCTCTTGTGGGTTCTTCGCCTCGAGGGGAGACTCCACATCCGCCAATCAGGAGAGAGCGCGGCCACAGAACCAAGAACTGAAAAACTTGTGTTTAATGTGGTCTGAGATGAAAGACAGAGCTGCGACCGCAACAGTCAGAGCCAAACTTTCAACAGTATCCTTCTCCAATAAAACTATTCTAATGCACAGGTACGGTGTAGCTGCTGCTCTTAATGTCAGGACAAAGGTACAATGACATCTGAGCTTTGAGGCAGTTGATTCACCTGGAGGACACACGCTTTGTCCCCGTGTCTGCGAGGACAAGTCTCACAAGCTGCATCAACAAGTGCTGCTTTTAGGCAACAATGTCTTTATAATCAGACTTATTATTCAGAATATAGTGTTTTATTTCGTTTAACCGTGTTACAATCAGAAACAGCCCTCCATCCAATTACTACATAAACTATTTACTTACTTACTTACTTACTTTGAGTGGGGAATTGTCAGTGTTGCGGCGCACTGACAGGACAGTAGTGAGAGCACGCAACACACAGAGCAGTAAATGCTTCGTAAATGTAAAATTGTCTTTGTTATTATATATCTCGGCCTGTGAGAACACATCCCTGGGTCTCAATGTGGGTCTCACTGAACTTTCTCCCTTTTCCCCTCTGAGTGTCTGAGTGATTTCTCTCTGATGCAGCAGGGTCTAAGGACAGTGATGATCCTGGACATTTGTTTACATTTCTGGACAGTGGTCTTCCCGTTCCTTATGGACCAATGGCTCCTTTGTGTTTGCTATGATTGTATTTCCTGTGTTTGAACTGTTTCGGTTTTGCTGATCTGTTGTTGGTGACAACTTTGTGTCACAAGGTTAAATGAAAAAAGGAACCCAAAACGCAGGACTGTAAAAATAAAGTATAATTTAATAAGAACTGAAACCAAGCCAGAAACAAACCTAGAATAGACAATATATGGACAAGAGGGGAGAAGCACCGGGTGTAAGTACACACAGGGACACATGGGTGAATCACATTAGGGCAAACAATCAACAGACTGGAAGCAAAATAAAACTACAAATATATACCAAAATAAAACCTGGTCAAATAATCAAAGGGCCACACCATGACACTTTGTAAGGTCCTCTTAGACAACTGCTGTTGTGATGTAGGTAGTATGGTGTGTGTGGGTTGGTCGTCAGTAGAAATTGGTCTATATTAAATGTATCTAATCTAATGTTTCATAGAGAACCACACAAATAGGACAAAGAAGAACTTACAATCCTCAACGTTAGAGTAAAACCTCATTGGAATCGGGCTGAAAACCTTGTTTAATTGTAGTGATAACATGTTGGATTTTCCTTTCCCACTGAGAGGCTGGATCCCAGACTGTTTCTCCCTGAGGCACTAGGGGGCACTGCAGCTGCACCGCCGGAGAGGTGGTCCTGTCAACAAGTGCAGGCAAAAGTTGTGAAAAGGAAAAACTCATGACAGAAACTGACAGAGGGAATATGTTTGTTGACGTTTGGGGAGAAAAATATGTTGGAATTGTTGCTGCAGAGAAATTCCGGGTAAAAAACTGGACCCACGTGAATAAGGACAAGTGAAGATTGTAACTATATTGTAATAACGTTTGCTCGCATGAAGCTCAGGGGAAGCAGGTTTTAACACGACACACAGGGACTCTGTGTACTGACAGCGTAACGAGCCGTGGAGCTGTGTTTGGGTGAGTGAAGCTCCCACCGTCAGAGTCTGGGCTGTTCATGTCCTGCTGTTTCCTTTAAAAAGCCCTTGGAAATGAATAAGCCCGGACAATGTCTCGGAGCTGGGGACAAGAATGGGGAGGAGGAGGGTTGTGTTGCAGAGAACCCAGCAGTGACATGAAGCAGAGACTGGGAAGGGAGGAGTCTATTCTTACAGCTGAATCTAAACCTACACGGATTGTGTCTTGCCTAATTTGTTCAGCAATTGTATTTAGTTATTGCTCAAAGGAAAACCCTAACCTTTAATTTATTCGAACCTAATTGTAATTAACCTAATTGGCAATGTATCTAAACTATGTTGTAGTTTTAAGTCTATTTAAATGGCTGCTGCTCACATGTGGCTCAGGGGAAAAAGGTTTTAATACTAGACACACACACGTCACTCACCAACAGGCAAGAGTGTAACGAGCTGTGGAGCTGTGTTTGGGTGAGAGACGCTCCAACCGTCAGAGTCTGGGCTGTTGTAGGCGCTGCTTTTTCTTTGTAAAGTTGTTAATTTGTTGTGTATGTTTATGTCTCCACTTGGAAGAGAAACTTTAGTAGTTAAGTATGATGTGATTCTCTCTGGTCTTTCTCTCTCTCTCTCTCTGGTCTTTCTCTGGTCTCGTATCCTATCAATCTACCCAAAACAAACCACTAGACTGTGTATAGACGGACAATGCAAACCCACTAGCTCAATGAAGCCTAAAGGGAAGTGCTCATGGTGAAGTTTGGCTCCTCTCTCCTCTCCTATTGACTTCCGAGTAAAAGTAAACTCCTCTAGCTCAGTAACCGTTTGTGTCACACTCACCATTTTGGGCTGTTAAAATCCATGGTTTATCGCTCTCTGTAATCCTGGTGTTTATATTATGATAGTGTCTTTGTAAATCCAGCCATAAAAGGATTGACCAATCAGATACTTTCATTCAGGGGGACACTCCAGCTTGCCTTAGCAACCGTCTTAGTAACACGTCAGCCCCTGTTACAGCGTGAAGCTAACACAGTCGGAACAAATGCCCATAAAAGGAAAATAGAGAGAAACAGAGTATAGAGCTGAGTAGTGTAGTTTGACCCTTAAGCATGATCTTGAGAATTTTGATTTTGTCCTTTCATGTTTAGAAAGTGCATTCACTCCAAAGTGGAAAATATGTATAGGGTGAGATGGAGATAGGGCGAAGAGCTCAGTCACTCGAGAGGAGCTCGGAGTAGAACCGCTGCTCCTCCACATGGACAGAAGCCAGTTGAAGTGGCTGGGGTATTTGGGATGCCTCCTGGACGTCTCCCTGTGGAGGTATTCTAGGCGTGACCCACCAGGGCCTGGCAATGGATAAAGCGGAAGAAAATAGATGGATGAAGTTTCTAGATCAGTTCTATAGTTTTGAATGGTGCAGTTTAGGATGAATGATAGTAAATAGACTTTTGAACAATATTCTAATTTCTGATTTTCACCTGTAATGTGACATCACACCTCTCATTTAATAAATAACGTTATGTGTTTGGAGCATGACGTTTTCTCGCTGCGCTGATGGAAGGTGGAATGTGTGAGAACTGCCACCCCCCCCGACCTCCCCCTTCCTCACCACCTCCCTCTCCCTCCACCACCTCTGCAGCTGGCCCTCCATCAGCAGATTAATAAGCTTTGTTGCCACGCCGACCGGAACCTAGTGACAACCATCCAGCCCCAAAGGACTCTGGGTAACGGA